CCAGAGGCTGGCCTGGCTTGCAATGCAGGCAAGAAAGCCAGTCGGTGAAAATGGAAATGGGGGAGGCATCAAGGGTGAGGGACAGGCTGGGGTGGGAGGGTAGGGGGGGAAAAGGGGATGTAGTAGTGCAGATAAAAGTGCAGAGGTGCCTGAGGTGTCAGATGTCCGGCAGGTTGCAGTGTGCCAGAACTCCACTGTGTATATTGAGTCCATGGGTTTTTCTGTACCTACTACCTAGGAGGCTGATGAAGTGCAGTTCATAGGCCCACCTCTGAAAAGTGGTTTGCATTGTAATTTGTTCCCTCTCAGGATCAGGCCTGAGAGACTGGAGGCAGAATGTTTTTTTGGTGAGGAATGCGCCTCTACAGGTAGTTAGGTTTTGTTGTTTTTGATAGATTCTGGTGTGCAATTTGTGGGGGTACTGGAGATAGCTGGCAGGTTTTGTGTTTTGAGCTGTAGGAAGTTGGCTTCAGTTCTGGTGATGAGGTTAGGTGCTTGTTTGAATGTACAAACCACTTTTCAGAGCTGGGCCTATGGGGCCTCCCTGTGTGCCCCAAGACAAAGACGCAATCATCCAAGCACCCACCTACATCACGAGTTTTGGCTGTCAGCAGATTGAGGTACAGTTCCCCCCAAACCCCTGCACCAGACTTCTTGAAACTTGGCATGTTTTGTGGCCTGAGCAGGGGCCACCACCCCTGCAGTTTTCAGCCCGCTGCGCCTTAACATGCACAGGGTCATCTGTGTCACGAGTTTTGCCTGTCAGCAGCGTGAGGCGCAGTTCCCCCCCAAACCCCTGCACCTATCTTCTTGAAACTTGGCATGCTTCATGGCCTCACCAGGAGCTACTACCCCTGTAAGTTTCAACCAAATCAGAGACAAAACAATAAAGTTATAGATATTTAATTGATCCCCCATTATAGCCTATGGCCAGATCTCCGAGGCAGCTCCGAAGCTTTAGGGCAGCTTCAGCTGGATCGAAGGGGCAAACCAATCCGGAGCTCCAGATTGGATCGCTGACATCTGAAGCGGGTGGATCCGAAGCTGGATCAAATACCTGCCTACTCGCACAGGCCTACTACATAGTACCAGTGGGTACTGCATAGTCATTTAGTACTGGCTAAAGCAGTTCTAGAGGTGTGCCAATATATTAGTCACATATCGAATGGGGCGCTGATAACAGGAAAATTAACATTATCAGCAGTCGCCTTTTTTTGGCTGATAATGTCACCAATAAATGCTGCATGCACGCAGCCAAGAATGCAGCCTGGCAGCTTGAAGAGCAGCATCCTGCTGGCAAGTCTGTGGAGGAAAGGGGAGTGGGGGGTGAAGATTGAGGCCCCCACATTGAGAGAGGAAGAGGGCCCAGCCATGGTGGTTAGTAGGATCCCAGGGCTGGGAGTAGGACAGAGCCACAGGCAGCTTGTCCCAGGGGTGTGGGGAGGGGGTGGGGAGGTGGGCGACTACCTGCCACTGCATGCACCTCTGGGGGAGGCATGGCAGGCATGTGCCCCCCTGGATTTGTGCAAGGGACAAGAGTGGCCTGTAGCCTCGGGACCAGGGGTGGTGCTGGGGCTGGGAGGGCTGGCTATCGGGTGGGGGGGGGCTACAGGGAATTTTGGGGTGGCTATCACTCCCCAAGTTCCTCCCCCCCAGCACCACCCATACTCATGACACTAGGGCTTCTGAGGAAAAGGCAGCAGAGCAGGGTGCCCCAGGTGGGGGGGGGGGCACTATAGCCACCCCTCCCAGCACTGCTACCACTGCCTGCCCCACACAGCTGAGCTCTGCCTATCCCCAGCCCAGACCCTTGCTGGGAAAAGGCTGGAACAGCCCCTGGTCCCAAGCCCACAGCAGGCAACCCACCATCGCCCCATGCACAAATTTGGGGGGGCACATGCCCCCCATGCCTCCCCCAGGGGTGTGCTCAGTGGTGGAGAGCCACCCCGCAGACCCCACAGATGAGCTGCCCTCGGCTGTGTCCCAGCCCCAGGGTCGCATTCGTTGACCTGCATTGGCAGTGCCTGCTCCTGCCCCACTCCCTCCCTTGCTGTGGGGGGGCCTCTATCTGCCCCCTGTGCCCCCCCCCACACCTTCCTCCCCACAGACTTAGTGGCAAGAGGCTGCTGTACAAGCTGCATTCCTGTAAATCAGCTGATGGATCAGTATCTGCCAATATAGCCAGTTAATAATCGACTATTGGTATCAGCCAAGAAAATCTTTAGCGGTACATCCCTAGCAAGTACTAAATGACTGCATAGTACCAAATGCTCAGTCAGGGGCACATGTATGTCTGTATTGTGTGTGTCTTGCTTATATTCAAAGTTAGTCTGATATTTCTGTTATATGGTGTCAGATGTTTATGATTTGGAAAATAGTAGGGCTTATAAGGAATTTGAATGGAAAGTGAATTTTTGACATGGCAGGGAAAGAGTGCTGAATAAATTATCTTGATCCTTGGTGTACACATGCCATTGAAACATTTTGCGTGGATTAGTGCTGGGTTGCCCAACCTTTTCACCCCTTGGGCTGCATGGGCAGTGCCTGATCAAGCCATGCAGTTCTTGGATATTTGGCAGTAAGGGTGGAGTGTCTGTGTTAATTGTCACTGCTCTCCTGCAGCCAAATTTATCGACCTGTAGGGAACCCTGTGGGCTGGATGCCATGGCTGTGCAGGCTGGATTTGGTCAGTGGGCTGGGAGTTGAGCACTCCAGGATTAGAGGGAAACTAACTTATGAAAATAGCTTTGACATGTCTATCTTAAACTACCAACAATGGGATTTACTTCTCCTTTGTCTTTCAGGAAGTTAGCCATGATACAAGAAGATTTCGTTTTGCCCTTCCAACTCGTGAGCACATTCTGGGTCTCCCTATAGGTACGTATTTGCATTGGTAGCCTGGTTTTTCTTCATAATGAATCAGCAATTTGTTAATTTTAAGTGGTCTCTAAGAACTACTTTAAAGAACATACTCAATTTTACTAATATTATAATTTCCCCTAAAATGTCATTAATATATTCCAGTTGACAAAAAATATTTTTATGGTGTGTGGAATTGCTAAATTTTATGGTTTAAATATTGCTGCCAGTTTTGCCTGAGCAAATAACTCTAAGATCAAACTATTGGCTGTTTCTTTTAAGAGAAAAAACTGATAATACAAGTTGCATATATTTTTGGTGCAGTGCTGTTTGTTTCCAATGTACATGGTATTTCCTTGACCACTGTAGGGGAAAAAAGCCAATAGTTAGTTCATTGCTCAGTCTTCAAGCCTGCCTTACCAACAGACATTGGGCGTTTTTATACATGTTCCTGATGTGGTGCCAGGTGCTTCTAATTAGCAAGCCATGCTAATTAAAAGCACCCATGCATCACATGTATCCACAGCACGCCTCCTTGCTGAGAAAATGGTGGCAGTGCACTTTGAACTAAAGGACATCAAATGTATTTTAGTTCAAAGCGCGCTACTGCCATTTTCTCAACATGGAGGCACACTGTGCTGCACATGATGTGCAAGGTTGCCAGAGTGTGTCAATTTACATGCTCCAGCAGACTTGATGCGGCGATTCTGGTCTGACTCACTGGATTTCCAGCGTGTCAGAACAGGCTCCCTGCATGTATGTAAATGCCCATTGTTCCTAGGAAGTTCTGTTTCCTTCTGCTTTCAAAGCAGCACTCAGCTGCTTCTCTTGCTTTCTTCTAGCTTTCTCCTGTAAGGTAGTTTGTCAGTCCTCTACCCCACCTGCATTTATTTACCCTGTATTTATAACTGGTCAAGGGGAAAACTGTTCTTGGGGCATATCTGTGTGGGAGACTTATAGCAGGCAGCAGCACTCTCAGGGATGCTCTACTGGAGTTATCCCTTAAATCCAAAGTAGTGTAGCATGGTAGCACAGCACTCATTTGGCTGATTAGCACAGCTGAGAGGCAGTGGCAACTAACCTGTCTGCAGCAGGGGGAAACAACACAACTACACAGTTTCTGACTCAGGAGATGGCTCTTGCAAAGCAGCATGGCCCATCTCGGGGCACAGCTGTTTGACGCATGCAAATCACAGCCCCTTAGCCAACTTTTAATCTCAGCTTCTTGCACAGGGTTTGCTATGCAGCCTACATACAGCCTTACACAGCTGCTGTTGTTTCCAGAAATCTTGGCAGATAACAGTGCATTTGACTGCCTTTCTGTTTAGCCTACAGGAAAGATGCTTATCATAAGTATCTGCTTAAACCAGGCCTGTGATAGGTTGCTGTCAGGCATGTCTGATCTATAGGCATTAGAACCTTTCCAGCATAAGTATACATTTTATCCATTACTCTCTCTCCATGTGCACCCACACACACATGCACACTGAGTTTTTGTATATTGCCATTACATGAAACTACAGCTGTGTCCTTCTGTAAATCTTTTATGTAGCTGTATTACTTTGTAATGTCACTCAGCACACATACTTAGTTAAGTGGATACTTTCCATGGTCAGTTTGGTGGCCTTATAGTTGTCATGGTTTTCACCCAAGATTTTCAAAAAGGACAAGAGCAAATCAAGACTCTACTTCAGTGTGTTACCCAAAATGGCTGGGGCTTGTTAACAAAATGGTGTGGGGAATAGAGGAGGTTCTGGAAAGACAGTGTTACAGTAGAACAAAAGGGTGGTGAAGGTCACCCTTCACAGCTGTGACACTTGTGTGAGATAGACAGTCTTGGCCCAGTACTTGGTTCTGATTTTTTTACAAATTGGGAGGACTTACTTTTTCTGTAGAGTTCTAAGGGAAGAGGGCCTGTGAGGCTGTGAAGGGATTTTCTCAGCATCTGCTGTCCTACCTGTGGAGAAAGGTGAAACTCAGAGAATTGCCCCTTCCCTCTGGGAGACCTTCTGTCATAGATACCTCCTGAATGACTTACCCTGACAATGATTTTATCTGGCAGGATTTCCTTTCTGCAATCTACAGCTGTAGCTAGTTAAATGAACTTACTGCAAAACTTGTCTTGGAAGAGAGGGGAGGTAACTTGACATGATATTCCTTGACAAAAAAAATGAAACAGCTTGATATATAAGTTCTCTCATGTACATATACTGTCTCATTCCTTGACTGCCTCAGTAGAAAAGTACTTTGGGTATAATGTCAGAAATACTTTAACTCCCTCGCATTCTGGTGGTGCTACATATTCCCATACGGCTTTAATGTAAGGTTGCATTCCAAGTCACTACCAATTCAGGAAAACACCAATATCTCATCCACACACACTTTACCATTTGGATTCAACTCATACAAACTCCAGTGTACCATTAGAGATGAGCAGCTGGCAGAATTGGACCCTTTCATCCAGCCTTTCTTTATAGAGCTGAAATAAGCCAAAATAGTCATTTAAAGCTAAAGCATTAATAAAATGAAGGTGTCTTATCCTTCAGATACGGTGAAAATGTTTAGGAAGTCTGATTTCCCCCCCACAAATTCCTTAGCCATAACATCCCAATAAAGGTATTAAAACCTTAGGAAGAAATTTAGGGGAGCGGGGGGAAAAAAACAAACTTTTACTAAATTGACTGAGAAAAGTTAGTTTTTTTGCCCAAAGGAAATGGCACGGCTAGTTTGTTAGCCCACAAAGGGTTAAAACTTGAAGGGTGAAGTCAGGGCTTTAGGAAATTACATTTAAAACAGGATTTTAATGTTAATCTCAATGCACCTTGAAGTATGGACCTCCTGCCTCCACCAACCGCTTCCCCAAGCATCTTCACAATAGTACTTTCAGATGTAAACCATTTGTTATGTCAAGTCATTATCCTGTAACTGATGATGAAGTGCTAATGATATGTCTAAAAGAGTTGTTCTTGTGCATCCTTTTTGCACATCTGTATTGGTGGAATATATTAATACCCTCCATAAAAATCTAACTTAGTTATGGCTGTTACAGTAAATAACAAATCTCTGCTGTCCCTCACTCCCTAAAAAGGAGGATAAAGCAGCTGTAAAAGCTGAACCACCTGTCTGTACCTGCTTGACTTTATGAATGATGGAGAAGGAAATATGGCAAAGTGATATGGAAGTACCAGATGGCAAGGGAAAAATTACTGCCACTGGAACAAAGGGGTAAAGGAACTTTATCGCCTTGCTTGTAGTTCTGCCATGTCATCAAATGGCCCCTCAAAAGTAAACTATTCACCCCCCCCTCCCCCTTCTGCATTTAGGACAGCACATCTACTTGTCTACTCGGATTGATGGGAATCTGGTCATCAGACCCTACACACCTGTGTCCAGTGATGATGACAAAGGCTTTGTGGATCTTGTTGTGAAGGTAAGGCTATTATTGTGCTGTACTTGGCTACTTTGTGCCCTCAGGGTTAGAGTAGAAAGCATGATCTTATAAAAAGGGGGGGGGGTGAAGTTGGACATTATAATCACGTTAGATTCTGTTCAGTCCCAACACACACACACACGCACTGATCTATTATAAGTAGTGGTTGAGGAAAAAGTGACTTTTGTTAATACAGAGGTATTAATATGCTTCTGTGCAAGTTCCCAGAGTTAATTACTAAAAGACATCCAATCTGTAGAAGTTCGCACAGTTCTTTAGCATTTAAGAAGCTTTCAGGCTTGTTGGATCTTCTCTGGTCTTATTCATGAATAATATAGTATCATAAGCATGAATGTAGGGGGATTATGAAGTATGGAATCTGATAAGATAGGATGCCCAACACCACACAACCATTCTCCCTGGCTCAGTAGTGAATTTAGATCTGCTGAAGTTCTGAATCTTTGTCTCTTGGCAGTCAGGCTGAGTTATTCAGGAAAGCTTTCTAAAGCTGCTAGAACTTATTTTTAAACTCTTGCACTCTTTTGACAGTTCTTCCAAGTTGTTTCACTTGCTGAGTAAGACTTTTTTTTATAAAGTCAATGCTCTTCTATTAGCCATTTCTCTTTGTGGGCAGCTCTATGGGTTTTTACTATTTCCACATGGGAAAGTTTCACCACTTACCAAACCACGTCCCTGTAGCCCTGGACACCTGCTCCCTCTAGCCCTGGAGCTCATCTTGGTTCAGTTTAAACCCTTTTCCTTACCTTAATTTTTGGGGTAACTAAGTGGTAAAACTTGAATGCATCAGTCTGGTGTATTCCTTTAGCATTCCCTCTTAAGTAATACATTGTCTTGACTGAGGAGTTTAGGCATACCATGTTTTCTATTGTATTATGGAAGCTTGTTTTCAGCTTTGTTCCTCCTATTTATCTGTAACTAACTCAACCCAACTCTTCCCTTCAATCCTTTTTCTTTTACAGATTTACTTTAGAGGGGTCCATCCAAAGTTCCCTGATGGAGGAAAGATGTCTCAGTACTTAGACAGCCTGAAAATAGGGGATACCATTGACTTCAGGGGACCCAGTGGCCTACTTGTCTACAAAGGAAAAGGCAAGACAGAGTTTGAAATACTGTATCCAGAGTACAAGGCACAGACATTCTTACAAAACTGATAAATGTTCACTTTGCTGTTCAAATTAACTCTTGACCCTGATGAGATTAAAGCCTCATTTGAGGCCAAGAACTGTACTTCTTTAAGTATATTGGTATAACATGAGTAGTCTATCCCATAGAAGGGTACCCTACAATTTAAGTGACATGCTCTGGGCCTGGGAACAAATCAGTGAAAATCAGAATTAAATCTGAGGACTGAGAATCACAAGACCTGTGTGTTTTAAATTAGTTTCACAGCCTGCCTCAGTTATTTCACCTTGTGTTCTCTCTCTCTCTCTATCTTCCAGGCAAGTTTGCTATTCGTCCTGACAAGAAATCTGAACCGGTTATAAGAACAGTGAAATATGTTGGAATGATTGCAGGTGGAACTGGTATGTAAGAATGCATTTTCATTCTGTCATTCACAAACAGAGGTGACCGTCTGTGTGATGTGTATGTGTATGGGTTTTTTTTAATTACATTCCTCTTTCAGGGATAACACCCATGCTACAACTTATACGAGCCATCACGAAGGATAAAGATGATCCCACTGTTTGCAATCTTCTGTTTGCTAATCAGGTAACTCTTGCCCTTGTTATTGCAAGATGTGAATGTTGTCCTTTAAAATAACAATTCCCCAAGGACACGCACAGTGCACCCATACCACTCAGAACTATAAAACCCTAACACCAAATTAAGCATTTACTAGTAGTCATATTGCACTTGAGCCCCATGCTCAAATTGTGAGCTACTTTATGCCATGAGACAATGCTACCTGTACTCTTACAAAACTTAAAAGGTTGACAGTGTGAGTCTTAAGTTTTTAATGATCGTTTTATTGAAAAAAAATTGTGCATGCAGGTTTTTATGAAATTGATAAATTAGCAACTGTTATTCAGTATGAGCATATTTACTTGTAATAGTTGCTATTTGAAAAAGAATGTTAATTATTTCAGACCACCATGAGAATTTTCAGACATGCCAAAGTTTCAGTCACTAACAAGTTTCTAGGACTTAGTCTCAATTTCAAGTGCCTTTAGCCTAAATAATGTAGGCATCTGTCTGCCTTTCAAACCAGTTGCTCTCATCCTGTCTCCCTGTTTTTTATTCATGCTGGATTTCTGTGCACCATCAATTCAGCACATTTTTTTTTAAATATCTGAAAAGATTAGTATCATTTTAGGTTTGTAGGAAAAAAGATCAAAATCTCAACCTTTTGTTTAAAAATATAGTATGTGTAGCTTCAGCAGAATTTTAGACAAAGGGACAACATTTTCCCAATTTCTGTGACAGGCAAGTAACTGATCATCATACTGTTTGTCTGCCATTTCCTCTAAGATGTTCTTTATCTTTTCTGGTTCAGATTCTACCCCCAACTAAATATCTGTGTTCAGGATTATAAATGTGTCCTGTATTCTCTCAAATAAAACCTCATTTACCTCCTCCCTTGTTTTGCTTATTAAGGCCTTACTGAATTGTTTTCATGTCCTCCTTGGAGTTTAACATACCTACATTTAATAATTACTTCTGTGGCTAATGTACTGTTTGTGACTTCTGCCTCACTAAAATGGCTTTCATTGTTGTCCAGATGCCTGTTTCAAGTCAGTCAGATCCAGAAATTGCATTCTTGTAATGGATGCTCTGTCATGTTTGTCAGACTCAGAAATAGGTGCCATTTCAACAGCAGGTGCCGGCACATTCTGTCCATCTCTGCGTTCCCAAATATTTCTTTTTCTCTGGTGCCAAATCACTTTGGCTAGAGTATCAATGTCTTTTATGCTTACTGTCCTGTAGCACTGCTGCTGCTATGGGAATAAGATATGTTGGCTTTGGTTAATGCATTTGCATTAGAGAAGATTAGGGATCATCAAATATGTAGAGCAGAGCTCTGAGCTGTAGGGGGAGGCATTTTCTAGGTTTTAATATGAAAGTTGAGTTAGTTGCTACTGAAGATACTGAAAGAGCTTTTTACTTTATGTAGTAATATGACTGATAACATATTACAGTGCAGTCTGGTTAAAAGATCAGGCACATTTTTATTCTGTTCCTTTAAAGGGAAACAATCTAGGGCTCATCAGTGTTGTGGAAGTGACAAGACCAGGAATAATAATTGCATTAGTAACTTTTCCAAGTTACTTTAAATCTTGTTTCCATCTTCCATGTTTAAAACTGAAGTGATTTTGAGGTAGGGTGACTCCCC